CTTATAATNCAGTTAAAGTAAATTTAAGCGGATTTCCCAGAGCATCAACAAGAGCATGTATCTTTGTTGTAAAGCCACCTTTGCTGCGTCCCAGTGCTTCTTGAGCTCCGGTATCCTTCTTGTATCCAGCCGCACAAGCATGTGCTCTAACGATTGTTCCATCTATCATTTGCACTTCCAAATCTGGATCTTGTGTATATTTGAGCAGCTTTTCCCAAATTCCCTTTTCACACCACTTTTTGAATCTCTTATGTACGCTTCTGTAATTGCCATATATTTCTGGTAAAAGTCGCCATTGGCAACCACTTCGAGCCATGTACCACACTGATTCCATGAACCTTCTTATCCGATCTTCGTTTTTACTGTGTATTCCTTTTACGCTTTTCAAATTTGCAAAAATTTGTTTCCATTTTGTTTCTTGTATGTAATATTTCATTTGGTAGTTTCTCCTTATTTATTCACGGTTAAACTACCACTTTTTTCTTATTTCTCCAAATTTTGGTTCACAGAGCCTAGTAATTCCATATAAAAGGTACCGGAAAAAACCACTAACGGAAGAGCAAAAGGAGCATAATAGAAAGCTGGCGTCGTTCAGGATGCGAGTGGAAAATAAAATTCGAGAGATCAAAATATTCAAAATTATATCAAATGTCTATCGCAACTTTCAGAAGAAATACAACATGAGATTCAATAGACCTTCTGCAAAACGTGAAACTTAGCTTGGAAGATTTCTCTTCGTATTTTTTAAAAATTTTCTTGTTTAGAGCGTTGTAGAGAAGCAAAGTCACACATGGGATAGGTTTTTATACCCCCCAAAGAGAATTTGACGTTTATTTCTTTGTTTCGCAGAAGGTCTTTTGTTGTAAAGCCACCTTTGCTGCGTCCCAGTGCTTCTTGAGTTCCGGTATCCTTCTTGTATCCAGCCGCACAAGCATGTGCTCTAGGCTCTGTGAACCAAAATTTGGAGAAATAAGAAAAAAGTGGTAGTTTAACCGTGAATAAATAAGGAGAAACTACCAAATGAAATATTACATACAAGAAACAAAATGGAAACAAATTTTTGCAAATTTGAAAAGCGTAAAAGGAATACACAGTAAAAACGAAGATCGGATAAGAAGGTTCATGGAATCAGTGTGGTACATGGCTCGAAGTGGTTGCCAATGGCGACTTTTACCAGAAATATATGGCAATTACAGAAGCGTACATAAGAGATTCAAAAAGTGGTGTGAAAAGGGAATTTGGGAAAAGCTGCTCAAATATACACAAGATCCAGATTTGGAAGTGCAAATGATAGATGGAACAATCGTTAGAGCACATGCTTGTGCGGCTGGATACAAGAAGGATACCGGAACTCAAGAAGCACTGGGACGCAGCAAAGGTGGCTTTACAACAAAGATACATGCTCTTGTTGATGCTCTGGGAAATCCGCTTAAATTTACTTTAACTGCTGGTCAAAGGAACGATATTACACAGGCTGAAGCATTAACTGAGAATGTCTCAAATTCAGTTGTGGTGGCCGATAAAGGCTATGATAGTAATGCTTTTATTGTGGGTCTTGAGAATAAAGGATGTGAGGTTGTTATTCCTCCGAAGCGTAACCGAAAAGTGCAGAGGTATTATGATGAGCATATTTATAAAGAACGTCATTTGATTGAATGCTTTTTCGGCAAAATAAAACATTTTAGGCGGATTTTTTCAAGATTTGATAAGACTGCCACGGTTTATTTAGGCTTTTTAAACTTCGTTGGGGCCCTCATATGGCTTGCTTAAAATTTTGGTTCACAGAGCCTAGGGCTGCCAGAGGATTTTAAGGTAGAGCATGCTATTGGAGGAGGAGATTATTTTTTCGATGCAGTTGTAAAGGGACTTAAACAACTAAAGCCAGGTATGGACTTTACTGTGAAATCCTTCTTTCTTGGTTGCCCTATTGCCCCTTGTGAAACGCGTAACCCTAGAATTTCCCGTTCTTTATCGCTTATATCACTTGGATACATAGTTCCCTCTCTATTTGTACTTACTCAATGTAC